TGAAACACAGGCCTAGCTGAATTCCAGATTACAGGCATGTTATAAACTGTCTTCTGTTGCTCTAACAGAACACTACCGCCTGGCTAATTTATAGCTAGAAACTTAGCTGGCTCTGTACCTGAGAAGTTCAAGCATGGCTCCAGCATCTGGTAAGGGCCTTCATGCTACATCACAACAAGGCAGAAGGGTAAGCGAGTACCCCAAAAAGACAATAGGGCAAACATCCTTTTTATCAGAAGCTCGCCCATGAAATAACCAGCCTACTCCCTCAATGATTATATTAATCCATTCATCAAGATAGAGCCCTTTGGAGCTAATCACCATAGCTATTAAATGTCAGAATGAGTTTGGAGGAGGCATTTAACCATAACAGGATAGATTAGCAAATAGCTGGGGAAGAGCATTGCAGGCAGAGGCTTAGTGGTGAGAGCACAGAGGACATACTCCAGCACCAGCCTAAAGCAATGGCGGCTGGGGCAGTACAGGTAGAGCAAGTGTAGGGAATGGGGTCGAAGAAGAAGGTCATTAAAGGTTCAGATGTGTCATTCTGTGACTTTATCGCTTGAGTCTACATTTATGGAACATTTCTATACACAGAAACAAAACTGTGCTCAGGAGAAATATAAAACACACCAACCAAAAAGAAAAAAACTGGGGCTGGAGAGATGGCTCAGTACTAAGAGCACATACTGCTCTTGTAGAGGACCTGAGTTTGGTCCCTAGAACCCAGGACAGGTGGCTCACAACTACCTGTAACTCCGGCTCCAGGGGATGTCATCTCCAGAGGCACCCGCACTCATATACACATAGCCACACAAAGACACACAAATACACATAATTAAAAATAAATAAAATTTAAAACTATAGAAAATTCTCAGTAATCAATTCTATCAGAAGTAACAGAGTCTTTTGAGTTGAAATATGGTGTTTTCAAGTCTCTTTGCTCAATCAAGACATAGACCACCTAACAACTGCCTACACATGATGGAGTTTTTAAATTTAGGGATGGTCCTTTAACTTGTGTATATATCAAAACCCAACAAAAAACGGTTACTGAAAAATGCCAGCATTACAGTAAATACAATGGGAAAATTTTAAAGCAACTGTACAGAAGTGTGACGTTACAGCTGATTAACACAAGCCTGTAGGCTCCTGAGCCCCTCAGTTCCATCCCTCAAAGACATGCATTTCTTTACGCTGCATTTTTTTGGCACAGGCCAGGGGAACAGTTCTAGAGCATGTGCATGTTAACACCTACAGGCTGCTCAAAAAGAAAGAAGGGTCTGGATTTTTTCCTCCTTGGCTTTTCGTGCCTCAAACGCCACCCTCAAGCCTGCATCACACTGAAGGGATGCTTCAAATGAAAACCCTGAGCCTGTTGAGAGGAAATACCTGTAGCCTGTCAAGATCGAGGCAGGCATTATATTTTAAGCTAGAGGTCAAAACAGCTTGATTTTTGCTGGGACTTCCTGAAATCTGCAGTGCATTTCCAGGCCTGAGTGTGCTCAGTCACAGACGGCTGCACACATTCAAGGCCACCAGGCCAACAACTTGATAACGCTGTGGCAATGCACCTTCAAGAGAGATTCCTGACAAGTGTGGTGTGACACAACCAAAAGGATGCTGTTTCTTTCTCCTGGCTTTATTTTCCCTCGAAGAAATTTAACAAACATAGAAGGAAACACTGTATCTGTAATCTTTACATGATTACACCTAATTATTGTAATGTTTAGTTTATTTGAGGTTTCTTTTGACTCATTTAGCACATTCAAAGGACATGCATGACAAAAATATTGGCAAATTCTACCCTTCTGCAGAGCTATCTGGGTCATAATAATGATAGCTGAGACATGGTTACTGCCCACTAACCCACTCTGGATGGCAGATAAGATTTGGAAAAATAAGTTGACAACCAATAACGATTTCCACATAGAAATCTAAAGTTGGCGGTGCTATTAAAGACCTGAAAGATGAGCCAGTGAGATGGCTCAGCAATTAAAATTTCTTGCCACAGAAGCCTGACAACCTGTGTTTAATTCCTTGAACCCACGGTGAAAGACAGAGCCAACTCCCTATGAAAGTTGATCCTCTGACCTCCACACACATGCTATTTCATATGCACACCTACACCCCCCCCACAGCCATCATCATCATCATCATCATCATCATCATCATCATCATCATTGGTGTGGGAAAGATGGCTCAAGATTTAAGAACATTTGCTGTTCTTGCAGAGGACCTGAATTCAGTTCCCAGCACCCACATGGTGACTCCCAACCAACTTTATAACTCCAGTTCCATGACATCCAGTGCCCTGTTCTAGTCTCCATGGGCAGTGCATACACATAGAACACATGTATATATGCAGGCAAAACATTTATACACATAAAAATAAGATAAATCTTTTAAAAATAATAAATGTAATTTGATTAAAAATGTTTTGGCAGCACTAGATCAAATTTTTTGTGTAGGAACAAGATCTTCTGATAGGATGGGTGCTAAGAACACCCAGTGATCTCTCACCTGGCTGGATTTGTCCCTAGGATCCCTATTCCCCATCTAGTCCAACCATTTCATTTGGCACATGACCAAAGTGGACAAAGGGGCAGAATTTTAATGACATCTTCAAGGTCACTCAATTAGATAAAGGCAGAGCTGAAGTCAGAATTCTGTCCCCCTTACCAAGATGCCCCATTCCCTAGAGTTCTAGTTGTGAAAGAAACTGGGCCACACTTGAAGCAATGTCTCAGATGATGTTGGCTCTGAAGTTATTTTAATTATAAATCATCTCTGGAAACTAATGAAGGCATCAAAGATGTGATACTAGTATAGACCAGAAGCAATAGGGGAAGTATAACTAACAGAATACTTCCTGAGGGACTTTAAGTTTAAGTAACCTATATTTAAAATATCATTATTTTAGTGAGTAACAGAGCGGGGCAAGGAAAAGCTGAACAAAAATCACTTCCAGGACAGCTGGGGCTCCAGGGGCTATAGACCCTGTCTCAAAAAGACAAAAAAAAATCACTTCCTGGTTTAGATATATGGAATAAATTAGAGATGGCATTTTTAAAGATTTTTTTAAATAAATGCTAGTTTATGCAAGGATTTTACAGTATAACTTTCATTTCGTTAATTTGCAGTAATATCAATTTAGGGGGTAATTATTAAGGACTTTCACTTGTCTTTATGACCAATGATAATATTTTTCTAAGATAAATATGTGAGTCATCTGAAGTTTTTACTTACAGAGGTAGATGAATTAAAAAGCGTTTATAATATAAAAGTAGACTCAAGTCAACTGATGACCCTGGTATTAATTTTTTTCTTAATTAAAATTTTTCTCAATTCAAAAAGAAACAGGAATTGTCCTACACTAACAGTTCTGCTGGTCTCAGTCATAATTCTATCCTCCAGTTCTACCTGACCCTCCATCCTCCATTTCCACCTGATCCTCCATTCTCCAGCTCCACCTGAACCTCCCTCCTTCAGCTCCACCTGAACTACCCAGAAACCTGTCACCTTTAAGGTGTTGAAAAGAAGCCAGAATATTTTACTAGAATAAGTTCAAAACTGGTTTCATAAGCTTGGTATGGTACCACACATCTATAATCCTAGCACTTGAGAAGTAGAGGCAGATGGATCAGGAGTTCAAGGTCTGCCTCAGTTACATATGGAGCTTAAGGTCAGCCTGGGCTATGTGAGATCCTGTCTCAAAAAAAAAATAGATAAAAGAATAGAGACCTTTGGCCTTCCGAAAACCACTCCCTATTGGATGATAGAATTATCATCCATGTGACAAATGTGACGTTATACTTTTTCACAGTGCACAGCTCTTCCTGCAACTACATTAGTAGCCATCCAAACGTAGGTAACAGTAATTTGAAATAGAAGCACAATGCTGTTCAGTAATGCTGCAGCACCACTGGAAATTGTGGTTGCTAAATTTAAACTGACACTTGGCAAAATTATTGTAACACTTTATATCATAGCCTTGTTATGGAGTGTCTGTGTGGCACAGTCAACAACTGAGACTGGAGTTGCCCAACCCAAGAGGGAACAATGACTGAGGCCACACAGCAAAGGTTTGAATGGCATCTCAAATTTAAACCCAAATGCCAGCCTTCCATCCTTTCTTGGAGATCCAGCAGTTACTGCTCAAGTTCAAAGTCTAAACTTCTCTTTGTGTTCAGTCTTTTGTTTTCTCATCAGAGAAGTGGAAAGGCAAAGAAGAGGAAGGCTCTATTGTCATCTGCCAGAGTGGCTTTGCCCTCTCCTCCCCACCACCCTTGGGTTCAAACTCCTTGAGTGGAGAGGCGGTGCCCCTTCATCAGCAGGATGACTTTTAAGCAAATGGAAGGCACTCTTTTCCCTGTGGCCGATTATCCCTCTGTTATAGCACCATTTTGTTCTAACTTAAAACATATGCCTGCTTCCTCAGGCACAGCTCAGGAGCATATTGCAATTCAAGGGTTAAACAATTCCTTGGAAACAAGACAAGAGAAGACTCCTGGAGCTGCGCAGGTGCAGAATTATAGCCTGCCACCACTCATCACCGGTCCAAGCCTTACTGGGGGCTCAGATAGAGTAGCATGGCAGTCCTCTGTTTTCCCATGAAAATAAAATTTCTATCTTACCAGCCTAGGACTGAGCCCAGAGTAGGCACTTAGTAAATACTAGTCAAATAGCCAACAAATTTAAAATGATTTTATCACAGTTCTTTCTCACTCCTGATTTCAGACCTCTTAGTCCAGAGACAGTTTAGTCAGACCATCTCACTGAGCAGCAAACAAACTATGCTCCTCCTGGGAGGCTGAGCAAAGCTCTGTAGAGTAGCAGTCACCCTCTCCAATGGCACACATTCACACAGTTTAGTATTCCAAGAATAATGAAATTGGCAAACAGAAGAAAATCAGTCATCAGGCAAAATGAAAACCAAAGAAACTTCAGCTTTTCTTAGCCAACAGAAGAAAAGGCAGAGGTAGGAGACAACAGCAGAATACTTTGTTCTTTCTTTTTATTTAGTCACAACATGTCAGTACAACAGAGGTCAAACCCAGTTCAGTGGAGGTTGTTCAAACTACACCTGCTAAAAGAATAAGCCTGTAAAATGGTATTTTTATCACCCAAATCAAATTTTTAAAAAATCAAAGAGAAGGCAGCAAAGGCCCTTTTAAATATCTCAACAACCACATTTTCATGCACCAAAAGCAAAACACAACCTAACAATTTCTAGTTGAAAGAAAATATAGCAATTTCAGGAAAACCAGGTTATGCATTTAACAGGCATTGAACTGATGACCACTTACATACCATGATCACTTATGTAGGTTAACACTAGTGAACTTGAGATCTGTGAGACTGAAAACATATTGCATTGCTTGTGGCTGGAAAATGCAGGCATGTTGCATGCAACTGCCTTTCAACTCCCTTGCTGCCAGGGCTCCATATGGGAACCTAACCTACCAGTGGCTGTTTCCTAAACCTGAAATGTTAAAATGGCAAAGCCGGGTAGACCAAAGCAGGTGGTCATCTGGTTTCAGGGCCACTGATAGTCTGTGCAGTCACCTCACTGCCATAAGAGGCAGAGAGTTAACTAGTGTTCTGGGATAAAGCTGTTCATCTGATTTGTCAACGCTTTGTTTGGAAATATAATGCTTTGCCCCCCACCTCCCCCCCAAAGAATACCATTTATACAATACCTTAGTCTGTCAAAATATTAACAAAATCATGTTAACATGGAGCATGGTGGTTTGGAAAATTAATCCTAAAAACAAACTGTAACCATACAAGCAGTAAAACTGACCCAAAACACTAGATGTTAAGATTCCCAAAACTGAGGCAAATCGAATCATTCTTTGACAGACAGGTTTACAAAGTAAATTAGGCACTGAACAGACGATCACAAAGTGTTGGTTCATACTATCTCAACTGAACATTTTAAACAAAAATTAACTAGTCTTTAAAAAACTGCTAATACATGACATGATAAAAAATTTTAAGAGAAAATAGTAAACCAACAAACCTTTCTTTAGTCTTTTAAAAAAACCACTTATCTGAAATGTACCTTTTTTCCTTACTTTTACTGACGACTTTAAGATGATGTTGGCAACAGTTCCAGCTCAGCTGGGATTTTAAGCTTTCCCCTCCCTTGTTCTACAGCATCAGTTCTTTAGAAAGCTCCGATCTCAGTCCCCCAAGGTCTATAGGGCTTTCCAAGGTTGGCTGCCTGCGTGGGTGTCGAAGGGCTCAGTAAATGGAAGGAGCCGAAGGAGAAGGGGAAGGCAGACAGCGAGGCCACGGAGGACAGCAGAGGCGGCGACAGTTTGGAGGCCGAGGTCACCACCGGGAGAACCGGTCCCACGCCGCCGCTAGCGGGCGCTCGCAAGGCCGGCGCCTCCGGATGGGCCGAGGCCAGCCTGCCCTGGTGATGCGGCTCGGAGGGCGACGCCGTGGTGCCAGCGTTCCCGTGGCTATTCTGGGGCAGCAGCAGCGGGTGCGCGACGTGCGGGTGATGTCCGAAGGCGCTCCCCCAGGGTATGTGTCCGAGGCCCGCGTGCGCGCCGCTCGCCGCTTCCCGCTGGGAGGCGTAGTTGTTGAGATGCGAGACCAGGCGAACGCGAAGGGGGTCTGAGGCATCCAGTCCTTCGATGATGCTCAAGTAACGAGCAACTTCGGCCAGGCATTCCCGAAACCCCAAACTTCGATAGTCCATAGCCAGGGCGTGCGCGTCAAAATAGCCTGGGCACAAGAACAAAAGGAAACCTTCAGGGCTCTGCTTTCCCCGCATTTCTTCCACCCCAAAGGCAGCCCCCTTCCTGGCAAATACATGTACGTGGTTAGAGCGCAGGGCTCACGGGTTCTCCTGGAAGCGCTAATATACTGGAGCCGACCAAAATCTTTGCATTAATCAATATGATGTGTTTGCTAATGCAAGTTCAAAGCCCAATTAGAAGCTGCTGAGCAGAAACTGGAATTATACCCTACCAGCAGATGAAACTATATTCTTTCCTTTAATGTTTTCCCTCAACGACAAGAAAAAATACATCAAGGACAGAGAAACCACAGAGCAGTGAAATTCATTAGACACACAGATGTAAGTTATCATCCTGCTGCTTTTAGGCACTTGGTCCTCGGTGAAGCATTTTCGGGCTGGAGACACACAGACCCTCAGTCTCCCACCTTCTGTTAGGATTTCCCTCTACTTAGCCACAACAGGTTTCTTCCCTCCAGACTCTGGTGGCAGCTCGTTTTTAAAATCTTGTATATGAAATTCAGACTATATAGCTGTTGTTTTTAGTAAGTCTTTTTCTGAGCCTTTTCTCTCAAAACGGTAATGATGCATGTGAGAGACCTACTCTATATCAGGGCTGTCACAACTCTGGAGGAGTTCACAGATGACAGGCATTTGCTGAAAGATGCATCAGCTCAGTTGGAAGAGGGCTGAGGTGATGAATTCGCGTTCAGGATCAGATGTGCAGCTCAAGGTGCACTTGCTGCCAACGACGCCCTGCTCTCTCCCCACCCCCAAAGAAAAAGCAGGCAGGGACTGCACCAATCCCAGACTGCGCCTGCTGTCACTTCCACCCCGACCACGCAGGACCCCAGAGGAGCTGGAGAAACGTACCTTTCCCTCCTGCAGTGTGCAACATTTTCAGGTGATCCACAGTCATCTGCAAGATCTCGGCTTTTTCTAGTTTAGCAGATCCCTAAAGAACAAAAAGCCAAAAGGCTTATTTAACACAAGTGCCTTTGGAGAACAACTTAAAATAAGCATGCGTATATGCATACATGTAAACTATAAAACGTGAACTAAAGAAAAATGAGCTGTGTCCACAAAATCCGCTGGAATCTGTGTGTGAATGCATGAAGCTATCTATGGCATGGCTTTTTTCCAAGACACGGGTAAGGTTCGATGCATGGAGAGGGGGAGGAATCAGACGTGCAGATAGCTACACGAAGAACTCTACCTACTTCCTCCATTACCTGCTTCTCAAAAGCACTGGGTACCAGCCTCCTCAGCTCAGACAAACTGTTATTAATCCGGTCTCGTCGGCGCTTCTCGATGATCTGTGGGGAGCAGGCAAAAACAAAGGACATTTCCATTACGACTGTAAATTACAAAGCGAAGAAACGTGGTTCCGTTAATAATAATAAGCTTTTTTTAAAGAATATTGTTTGAAAAAAAAAAAGGACTCACGCCTCTCCGTCTTTTTCTGGCCAAAATCTGGGAAGATGTCGTTGGGGACATGGAACCCAGCGCGGAAGTCAAGTTTCTGTAAGAGGGGAAGCAATCACGGTTGAGGGAGGGAGGTGACCTGAGAGCCCCCCGCGCTCCGACTGTTTTGGCAACTTGGGCTGGAGAGTGCCGGGAGGGTAGCTCGCCTCCGCCGCCGCCTGCCCGTGACTGGAGCGGGGCGCGGAGCATCCGCGCGCCCCAGCCTCTCCTCCCGCTCGGGGTCGGCCGGGCGCCGCCAACTCACCCATTTTCGTCCGCACTCTCCTTCTCCACCTCGATGGTCTCGTCCAGCTCGCTATCCGAGGAGCTGTAGTCTGGGTGAGCTCGCTTCATGCTGACAGAGCGCGGGCTCCGAAGAGGGTCGCGGGGTGGGCAGGGAGGAGTTAACAGCGGCGGCCGCTCGGCGTTTGGCTGCAGGCGGTGCGCGCACACTGATCCCACTCACGCTCAGCCTCCGGTTAAAACTCAACCATCCCTTTCCCACGCTGCGCCCCATCCCTGGGCCTTGAGGGAGGGCGGAGGAGGAAGGGGCGAGGGGCGGGGCCACGGCTCCCGGGCAACAGACGGGCTCCGGCCAATCCGGCGTCTCGCTGAGCCGATTGGCAGCCGCGGAAGCGAGGCTGTCGGAGGCCGAGGGCGGGGAACTCGCGCCCCCCCCCAGGCCCGCCCCTGCCCGGCGGCGGTGCGTCGGCTCGGCTGGGG